AAGGAATTCTTTACAGCCTATGGCCATTTTGTTTTTACCTTTTTTTTCAACAGACCGCATGTGCTTCACTCCACTAATGTAGGTTTTCAACCGTTCAGGCTACTGTCCTCCGACTCACTGTTTGATCTCTCAAAAAAATTAAAAGTCAAAACCTAATTCCCTCGCGTGATTTTCCTTCTCTCTGCTCTTCTCGCATATCTAACGGCTAGCCGTCGTTATGCAGAGAAACCGCAAAAATCACGCGATGTCACCTAACGGCATGCCGTTATTGTGACACTTGTGGTAAAAGCGGACTGACAAACACCCTCCCTGAATTTTGCTCGCGGACGTCACAACATTAACAATTTTTAATTTTATGCTATATATGAACGATTTTACAGTTATTTTACCCCTGCGATCGTGAGGGGAGCGTTAAATAAAAAAGGATAAAAATTAATCGAGTGCAAGTTTACTAGCACAACAAAAAGTTCTTTTTTGTCAAATTTTCTTGAGATAGAATGTGTAAAGAAGAAAACTTTCAATTTCTTGGCAAAAGAATAAAAGGCTCCCAGTCTCATGTAAAGCTGAAGCATGGTGCATACAAATAAATCACCAAATAAACACTTGATGAATAAACAGAAATCGAATTAGACAAAAGTTCTGTTGAACCTTTCTCACATAAACTATGAACTTGAATTTTTGTCAAAAAATAACAACTAAACGAAATCGTCTTCATTCGCTTTAACTAGGATGTTGTTATATGAAACCTCTGCTAGTACCAGGTGGACGGGCTTTTGTTTGGCCATGCGTACAACAGGTGCAAAGGTATTATATAATAGAAGGATTTCTTTCTCCAATTTATTTGTCACGTTCTTTTAGAATATCTTTAAATACCATGACCTTGCAAGTGGAGAGTCCATGTGTCTACACCAGCCAAGGTGTACCTATTTCGGTTACCGGTATAGCTCAGGTCAAAGTGGAGGGACAAAACGAAGATATGCTGTTAACTGCTTGTGAACAATTTTTAGACAAGGATGAAGACGAAATCAGTCATATTGCCTTGGTTACACTGGAAGGCCATCAAAGAGCTATCATGGGTTCAATGACGGTAGAAGAAATTTACAAGGATCGCAAGAAGTTTAGTAAACAAGTATTTGAAGTAGCTTCTTCGGATCTCGCTAATATGGGAATAACGGTTGTGTCATATACCATTAAGGATATCAGAGATGAGGAGGTAAACATATTTTTAAAGTTTTAAGGACATGCGATCTCTTTTTATGATTACATGGCTCTATTCTTTTCTTGTCGTTTTTATAAAATTCATTCTTAACACAGGGAGAGGCTAAGGTACAGAGTTTTGTTGCTTATACTTTCGTCTACAACCTACATTAAATTTTTGGTATTATTTTGTGTAACCGTTTGCCTAGGGTTACTTGAAAGCTTTGGGAATGGCTAGGACTGCTGAAGTAAAGCGCGATGCACGTATAGGAGAAGCGGAGGCACGCAGTGAAGCTCAAATTAAAGAAGCTATAGCAGAAGAACAACGCATGGCTTCGCGTTTTTTAAATGATACAGAAATAGCGAAGGCTCAGCGAGATTTTGAGCTTAAAAAGGCCGCTTACGATGTTGAGGTACAAACCAAAAAGGCTGAGGCTGAGCTGGCTTATGAATTGCAAGCAGCTAAAACAAAGCAGCGTATCAAGGAAGAGCAGATGCAAGTAAAAGTTGTTGAACGCACACAAGAAATAGCAGTGCAACAACAGGAGATACAAAGACGCGAAAAAGAACTCGAATCTACTATTAGGCGCCCGGCCGAAGCGGAGAAATTTAAATTGGAAAAATTAGCCGAAGCCAATAAAATAAAAATAATAATTGAGGCTGAAGCGGAAGCCGAATCTGTAAGCTGCTAATTAATTTTAGGGAGGTTAAGATATTAACAAAATGCCTCTTTCCTAACCATTCAGATAAAAATACGTGGGGAAGCTGAGGCTTATGCCATATCAGCCAAAGCAAAAGCTGAAGCCGAGCAAATGGCTGCCAAAGCCGAAGCTTGGCGTGAGTACCGTGAAGCCGCCATGGTAGAAATGTTGTTGGATACCTTACCAAAGGTAAGTAAATAGTCACACTTATATGTTAATAATTTCTTTCGATATGTTCTTCTGAGTAGGTGGCCGCCGAAGTAGCTGCTCCTTTATCACAAGCGAAAAAGATCACCATGGTTTCGGGAGGTCAAGGTGAAATCGGCGCAGCTAAATTAACGGGCGAAGTTTTGCAAATTGTCAATAAAGTGCCAGAGCTTGTAAAAAGTATAACTGGGGTGGACATAGCTCGGGTACGTTTATTGGAATAACTTTAAAAACGATGAGAAAAAGAAAAAAGTAAGAAACAACGAAAGCAAATCTGCAGTCCGAAAATGTAAATTACGAAAGGTTATTTGCAGCCCTTTTTTCATTTTCCCATATCTTTCACATAATTTTTAAATAAATTTTTATTTTATTTATTTTCAGTCTTTGCATTCTGGTTAGACGATAAAGTTACAAATGTTTAATGTTCAACAGAATTGATTGGTTATTATAATTAAACAAATAAAAAGATCATATTTTTTTTTGATAAACGACTTTAAAAGCCATGAACGTTTAACCTTAATATTATTTTCAGATTTTTTTTCTTAACGCATACACGCACACATGCTAATCGATGGAGATGTATAACAGTAAAATTTTTGCATTTTATATGCTTTGTGAATAGAATGTATGAATAAGACGCTACTTTGCGAATTATGAATATTTTTTTTACATTTTTATATAACAAAAAAATGTGTTTTTTTGGTAAAGTAAACAAAATAAATGATAACTTTTTTACATTTACATTGGAAGTGGAATATTTGCTTCGAGAATTAGATCAGAAAAAAATTGAAGAAGAAAATTGAGTTCAAGTTTGTTAATGTTACAATATCTGAAACGAAAGCCGTTAATGAAAATGAATAAAAATAACGACCACATACATTCACTAGAAATAACTCTGCCAAACCTGTACAAATTTAGGCCGTCCATTTTCAATATAAAAGCGGAAGCTTTATGTTTACGATTTTGTAGGTGGGTATAAAGGGCGAAAGTGCAGACGAATACTATCCTGAGCTTTAAATCGATGAGACCTGCGTATGTAAGCCTTTAAAAATAAATACACTTCATTTCTGAACTTTTGAACTAACAACATACGATACGTTATAGGTTGTGAATTGTGCGTCAAACACAATTATTCGAGTTTTCCTCGAAAGTTTCCCTTTACTCACTTTAAATGAGCTCGTCGTTATCAATTCGTTATCTCATCAGAGAAGTCCACACAACTTTTGTTTTCGAAACAATTTATACCAAAACAATAACTACAATTCGGTTCTTCCAGAGTTGACATATCCCCCACTTAATGAATACCCTTAAAACAAAGTTTTTTGTCCGTCATCCTCTTTTGTGTCTCAGTGAAAAAAGCGAAAAACATGCTTTTGGGGAACAAAAGCCTAGGCTACCCATTCATGCTAAGTACATAAATGCTATAATAGAACTTTTTTTCTTCAAACGTTTAATGCGAAACAAAACTAATAAGTATTGTTTATACATAGAAAACATTCATAACACATGCTTTTATTGTTCACCAAAACTACTATTTATCAATTTGAAAAGTCATTTTTTATATTTATCACACGCAGGGGGTATGTTCGCATGGACGAGACTTCAAAAATGTCTACAAAGGTCAACTTGTATTGAAATCTTTTTTGCATTGTCTTAAATGTCTCCTTCGGCAAGCAGCTAATAGGATCCATATTTACTTATATGAAATATTTGAATAGAATAAGGTTTCTTTTTATCATTATTGTGCGGTGGCAGGATTCGGTAGTGAATTTCAAATGTGACTAAAGTATACATGAAAAAATTGTGAGCGAACATAGCCGGATCGAACTAGAAGCTTACACTGCAAAATGTGTATAAAATAGTACGTGTGATGGCGATTATTTCAAAGAAATGGCAAATTATTTCTTAAGCGTTTCGAATGAACAAAGCGGAAGCGATGACAAAAATTCAAAACCTGCACTTCCTCCGAAAAGTATAGAAAATCTCGAAAAGCAACGTATAAAAAATCTAGCCTCAAACCGTGAGCGTTAATGCTGTTCACCTGTTGCTTGAGCATGGTGAGAGCGATTTTGTAACTCAAACGTTTAATAATTTTAAGCAATCCTATTTCGTTGAAAAGACTCGTATTAATAAAGTAATTTACAGAACTAAACATAGCAACCAAGTACACAGTACATAGTGCTTTATTAAGTGCTATAAATATTTGAAATTGTTATGATAGATAGAAAGTTCAAAACAAACACATTGATAATATACTGTTGTTTTTGTGATTGTTAATAGTTTTTCCACTTATTTAATACACAATTTCCATTTATTTAATACACAATTTCTTACATAATGTATACAAGAAGCCTTATGCCTTCTTTTAATTGTCTTAACGGGAATTAAAATATTAAAAGTAAAAATCTTGAAAATTATTTAAAAACGGACGTGTACATACAAGTGCACACAAAAATATAAACTTTGTTTACTTTTGAAAATATCAAAAAAAATATACAGTTTATAAATATAAAGATAGATTAAATTTTTAGAACCCTTAAGCGAAATTTTATACGCATATTTGGTAGATATCCAAAGTTGTTGACGAAAGTATTAAAAATTTTATAACCAAAGTTTTTTTAAGGTTTTGGTCATTTGCGAGTATTTGTTGAATGATGCATTGATGCGTTTCCTTTTAAGATTGTCTGTAAAACTCAGTCAAATATAAACTTTCTGATTACAGCTCTCTTAATAGATGGGCATAAACAAAGTTCATATCAATTAGGCATATTTCTGATTATTCTGATTTTATATGTTAATCATTCAAAATTAAAATTCTTGAGCAAATATTTATATTTTTATTTATATACTTATTTGTTATTTTAGTTAATGACACGGAATGCCTTTGGTCAACCATAATGATTGAAAGAAGAGCTATGCGACATTGAGTACTTGCAGAGCTTTCGATTTTTTAGTAGCAGTGTGTTTAAACTTTACCCAATATATCGTGACCATATGATTTCTTACGATAACCTCCTTTAAGGCCGAATAATTTAAAGGCCACCATTAACATAACAATGCAGAAACCATACAATAGCATACCCATGCGCATATCTACATCAGAGAATACGTTACCAATCATACGTTTTCGTCGAAGCTTCTCCAGTATCGGCTGAAGTAAACTTTCATCGGTTACACCGAAACGACTTATATATTCCGGATTGTATATATTTTTCAAAAATTGTAAAACCTTCATTTTATTCCATTTATTATCTGGGTAGGTTTCGGTAGATTTGGTATAGCTTTCACGATGACAAAGGGGACATGATGAGGTGGTTGGAAACTGTACTTTAGGGAAATTGGGATCCTCCGTCACGTCGCCAGCCAGGCGTTGATTAACCTCATTATGTGCAGTCCATAACCAAAGAATTGCTTCGTCTTTGGTGGTTGTGTTCCAAATTTTGTGATTCGCTGCCATATTCTGCAAATTACATAATGGTATTTTAAACTTTAAGTAAGCCAAAAAATTTAAAAATACTAAAAACAAATTCTGTCTGTGTTAAAGGGGCATTATTTTAGGTCTCATATTGTTTTACGGCTCTTAAGATTGACAAATTTTATTTGTTATTTATTGATATATATACCGATGGCTGGAAACCGTGGATAATCCTCTTAATTAGTAAGAAACTTAAGTTTTGGCCAAGGGCTCACAATTTGCATATTGAAAATTCGGCCGGAGCAATTTTTTGAACTTTCTCTTATATAATCGTTCCCACGTTCGTAAGGTAAAAGGTCTAATTTTTAATATTTCATTATGAAAATTGGTTAATAAGAGTAAATTGACAAGGCAATAGTCCTTAGCTTAGACCACGTAAGTTTAATATTTTCAGAAAATGTATTAAGTTTGTTAAATTTGAACCTCGCAATATGATGTAAACAAACGTACGCTTATTCTCATGTTCTTGCGAGGTTTCATGATGAGAAAAATTACCTGCCTATTTAAAATACTTTCCCTCCAACGCAATTCGATGGAGGAATTGATTTTTTGTTCTTTCTTTTATTGCAATCACAAGCAAATATATAACATACCACTTTGTCACTGCCGTCTCTTAAGAAATTTACAATAGCACATTATGAGAAAGCCAACATCTATACTATATTTGATAGGCGAACCGGTTTTAGGGAAAACTATACATCAATTACTAAAGATAGACGGCCAGATTGATGTGACCAAATTTAGGCTTCATACTATGATAACATGAAATGAATTAACCCTCCATGAATATTTAGTCCAAACTACCAAGACTTGAAAGGAGTTCCCTACCTAATTCAAAATTCCTAAAAAAACACTTGTATACAAACAACTTAATGAGTGATTTAACTTAGCTTTTGAGTCTATTGCAAATCAAAAATTAGTAATTTTTTTGCATAGTTTAAAGAAGCCGCTACAATACGTCTATTCCGTTTGTGATTGCAACCAAACGTTAATACCCATAATTGCGTGCAATTGATCGTGAGACTTATAAAGAAAGGTATGTTGCGCAGTATCCACTTAACTTGCTTTTTAATTTACTTGTTCTCATTTATGAGATCATAAGCTTTAAGATTTAATGTTTTCTGAGATCATTTACCTGAAAGTGTTCTGAGCATTCCGTACACCCAAAGTAATATTTTATATATCCATGCATGGCTTGCAGAATTTCTAATGGGTCTTGACTTTTATCCAAATTGGCTGCTTGTACAGTCATATAATGGAATAACTGCCATAATGAGCACGTATAACCTCGACTGTTGGGTTTGGTAGCAATGCAACCCACGTAACTATTTGAAGAAAATATAGGGTGATTTATTTCTGTCAGGTATTTAAGTTTTTTTTCAAATTCTTGACTCGACATCTCTCGTTGGTTTTGCATGACAAATGCGTAAATTTTGGAAATAATTTTTTGCCCATTCGACCCCAATGGATTGTAGCGGTTCAGAACACTTAAAAATCGTTGTAAAGCTAGAAGTTTTTCCCCATTGATGTTCGAAGTTTTTGGTATCTCATTGTACAAAATATAATATATAGCCATTTCCAAATCGGCTTGGTAAACCAAATGTTTGTTGCGTTTTACTTCGTTAAGAATATTCTTTAAATCATTGTCACTATTTCCCAAGTTAGAAGACATTGAAGATGTATTGGGCTCTATGTAAGGCTTTTCAGTAATATGTTGTTTATTTAGAAAACCTTTGATCGTATCGACGTAAGACTCAGCGGAGTTTTCTAATGTTGAGTACGGTACGACATTTCCGGAACGGCTCACAGTGGCGATTTTAAATTGCAATCCATCAATTCGATATTTAGCAGCCGAATCCAGATCTACCACACGACGCACTTTTATATCTGTCCAGCGATTTAAGTGCAAGATTACCTCAACACCCAAAGTAGAGTTTTCTGGTTCATATATTAATATAACGTATTGACACAAACTATTTAAACCTTCGAAAAGTTCATTTGTTGTCTGAATATTTTCTGGTAGGGGTTGAAAGTCAGGCCAATCGGTCATATTAGCAGTACGATTTTCAGCTACGATAAAGCGAGCTAAAGAAATGACAACATCTTTTAATTCTAAAGTATTTATGGTTTTGCCATAGTTGCCCGGACTGGGTGTAAAACCAGGACCAAAATAACGCAAAGTAGGATAACCCATAATTTCATATTGTCTACATATGCCATTATTTTCCTCAGCCGCACAATCAATGGCGCTAACTGGAAGAATATCACGCCATCCAAAGAGGATCACTGCCAGGTCTTTGTATAAGGGGGCAAATCTTTTACAATGGCCACAATAGCTGTTATAAAATTCCACCAATATGGAGCAATTACGGTGTAAGACTTCATGGTTGAAATTGTTATCGGTCAATATTTTAACTTTGTCGCTGTTGTTATAAAGCCCTAACTCCGCTGGCAATTCATGTTTTATAAGAGCTTGGTGAGCGTTAGGTGGGAGCAAAGCCGCTTGTGTTAACACGAATAGAAAGCAAAGCAGGAAGGCGGAGGAGCTTTTTAAAACTGTCATACTGAACGAGTTTTAGCATTAAACGATCAACGCGAGTAGTTCTTATGGCAATGTGTCTAAAAACTACGTTTTCAATTTATTTAAAAAAATACTATACTAAAATATTTCGTCTTTTCTTTTCGTGTACAATTTTTCTCTAATTAGCATCTAAACGTAAAGGCTGCCTTTTGTTTTAACCGCTTATTAATTTAACATTAAAATATTAAAATTTCACTTAGCTCTATAACGATTTATAATTATTGTGTGTCAATTTCTCAGCATTAAATTTATTTACGTATATTATTTCGCACAAGCTCTCACTATAAGAAATTTACACATACTTTACAGAAAATTTCGAACTAATTTTTTCGAAGAGAAAAAAGCGAATGAATCAATCGAATATTGTATCTCAGTTTTATGATGGCTTCATTGATGCAGAAGTCTTTTCTTCTTTTGAGAGGGCTTGGAAAACTTTTTTGTTATTGCAAAACTTCCGGTTGCTCTGTTGACAGAGAACTTTTCTTGTTACTGTAAAATTGCCAATTCGTCCGTTATAAATGAATATAAAAAATTCTACTAAAACGAAATTCTAAAAAGCACTGAGCATATCTAGAAAAAATTTCCTTTTGGAGACATGAGTACAATAAAATTTAACAATAACGAAATGCTTGGCACTGCTTGGGACTCAGTACAGTAGTACAGTACAGTACAGTAAGCAAAGAAGTTCTTCTCAGAGTGGAATGATTTTTACAATAACAAAGATCCCCAAAGAAATCGTTCTTAGAGCAAACAAAATTTGATAATAATAATGGTAGCAAAAAATTACGCTCTTAACTAATTAGAACTAATTTGAAGTTCCTTTACTTAACTGAGTTGATTTCTCAGCTGCACAGTGACAGAGATTGCCGTGTTTATCTTTCAATAAACTAGGGTTTCCAACAAAAGTACTCTTGGTAAACGTAGAAATATTTAAACCATAACGAGATCGATGTCTTCCCTCTAACATGCGAAGAAATTGATATCACTTTACAAAATTTTTAATATGAACTCGAACAACAACAATATACAATAATTATGGTAATAATGAGAATAATGATAGCAGATACAACAAAAATCATAAATACTTCGTTTTGCTAGTAAACACTTTTAAACTTTCTTATGGTTACTGTTTTAAAATTTTTTAGTTTTCTAGTAGGTTAGTGCGAGGAGCTTTAGCTTAGTTCTTTAATAACTGGCGAGAAAGGATAAATTTCGATAATTATTCAACAAGAGACATTTATATAAAGCCAATGTATTTATTTTTTAATTTATAATTTTACCTTTGTTTTTATTTTGCTTTCACTGCAAAAGAGAAGTAAGAACTGTGCAGCACTTGCCTTTAGAGAGACCGGCTTTATAGAAGGCTAGAGATAAAGTTTTATTTAGTCATGTGTGTTAAGTAAGCTTAGGACAACGCATATTTAAATGTATACTCTCTCTAACATCTAGTCCCTCTCTCTCTCATTCAAAAGTGTTTCAAGTATCGTCGTGATTTCGTACGCTTTGATTGCTTGGTCGTTGTGTAGAAGTTTATGAAGTTTAAATAAATTTAGAGCTTTTGTTTGCACAGATCGTAGAATTGACGATCAGTTTAAATATAGAAGCAATTGTGAGTGTTTGATCTATACGTTGTGGTCAGTAATTTGAAAAGAAATGCCAGATCCTATCAGTTTTTGTTATAAGAGTATTTAAAAAATCTTTAATAGGCACAACACCTAAAATTTTCAGAAGAAAAGGGTGCAAAGTCTGCAAAATTGTAAATTGTAAAAAATTATAAATTGTGAAAAATCGTATTTAGTCTTGTAAGTTTTGACCAAAAATAACGCACAAACCTTTTAAACATTTGTGCTTCGTGGGCATTATTGATAGTTTTTTTTGTTTCTTAAAAACTTCTTTATTTTGTTTGCGGTGACTTTTCTTTGTAACTAAATAGATAAATAATTAAAAAGATTAAATGTACATTAAAGATTAAAAGGTAAGTTCTTCAAGTACATTTAAGGCTTAAGAATTTTAACACTTTTTATTTCTTCCCATTTACTTCCCATCAAAAATTAAAAATTTTAAAACCATTTTTTTAAATACATTTTTACATCGATAACTAGTAGCAGTGATCAGCTGACATTTTTGTACAGAAACGTCTGTCAACACATTTTACCATTTATCACCTCCCAAATCTGTTAATTATACTTTCGTGTAAGACGCCAGTAGATTTTCGTTTTGCAAAGTTGATTAGAGAGAAAAAATGATTTTTGTTTCGCTGTAGTAATTAAATATTCTTACGTTAATTTTCATTATTTGCTTTTTTAGCTTTATTGTTTCTTTCTTTAAGCTGACATTTAATGACTTTTTGTCGTTTTCATTCTGATATTGAAATCATCTCCGATTTTCTTTATTCTCAAATATAATAAATATAATAAAGTGCGTGTGTGCGTCAACATACGAATGCATAGGACTATTATCTTCCACAGTTAATGAATTAATAATAATTTCCTTTTACTATTGTGTGTTCCAAATTTATGGCCTCATCAAAGAAATAAGAATAAACTTAACGTGCCTCTATCTAAGTGCAGTCGAAACATTTATGAATAGTACGGTTGTATTGATGTGAGATGTTTATATAGATCTAAACTACAAAGGCAATATATGGAATGGAATGGATGCTAAAGACTTCCAACTTTGCTGTATAATCTTCTTTAATTTCGGCGCTACAGATAGCTTCCTTTCGTCCCGCTATTATGCAGAAAATTTTTAAGTACAAGAAAATCAAAAGAAATGAAATATAAAGTAGGGGTCTGGATGAAAATAGAATATAGTATAGGGAGATTTGCTACTTTCGATGGTGACCTGTTGTTATACACGACATCGTTATCGACTTAAAATGATGTTGTGATTGAAATTTTGGTGTGTAATCTATTTCAAATGAATGAAAATTTATATATTTGTTATTGCACCCACCATAAGGATTGTCTGCAAACTAATGCTTATGTATGAACATAACACTTTCTTCATCTTCTTAGGCAAGCAAAAGATGTGCAAAAACCTAAGCTGATTTTAAAGACTTATACAGAGCAATTGAGAGAAAGCGGTAAAAAAAATAAGAAAATTTGAAAGCTGAACTGATGCTGAACCAAACAAAAACAGGCAATGACTGTTTGTAAAACCACGTGCATTCTTATGATTAATGAAAAAAATTCTCATAACATTTAATTGACCGATAGACAGCATTTTCCTGTCCCGCCGGCCTCGTTCTCCTTTTTGTAGGGACATAAATATAGATAACACATACTTTCTTTTTTCTTCCTTTCAATGACACGCATTTTAGATTTAACTGCTTATGCCTTATTTTCAGGCGACATAATTCTGACTCTCTCTCTCTTAATTTTGTGGCATAGATGAATTTGTTGCTCTTCAAAAATTTACTTCGAACAGATAATGTTCTTAATTGCAGTCGATCAAATTAATTTAGAGATATTTTCCGTCAGTTTACTGTCGATAAAGTTACGCTGTTTTTGTATTCACAAAATTTGAGGCTCAAATACACAGTTGGGAAATCGATGCTAACAGAAAATTTTGCTGCAAAAGGTCAACTGAGTTTACAGCTAATTCCAAATAAGTGTCCAGATACCCAGTGGTTCGTATGTTACATAATTAATAAGTTGGTCTGCGTTCGGATATCTTTTATGTTCAAAACTATTTTAACGTTTCGCAGGTCTACTTTTGTTTACTTGATATAAATATTTTTAGAAATTTCCGCATGCTATCTATGTTAATTGTAAGCCAATCAATGAATGTGAATGTTGCAATCTTGACAATATGCAAACGTGTTAAATAAGATTTCTTATTTGATATTAAAGCCCAGCCCAGTGAATTCGGTTGAAAAACAGATGAAATTGTTTACAAATGAATGGGAGGTATAGCGAATTCGAAATCTAACAAGTGGTTCAGACTTGCTCATTTAATTACTCTCACTTTATCAAACAAATACATTTAGCTAAAAAACCAAAAAACAATATAATGATAAGAAAATACTCAAACTGTGCAAAAGGAATTTTTCATAAAATAAAAGTTAAATTTTCAATTTAGACACCAAATCCTTTATTCGCATTTTGAATAAATTCAAGAATAGGTGCATTAGCTATAGATATATTAGATATCTTACCGAGTTCGAACAAGAAACTACAAGTTTTGTGGAGGTATTAAGGAAAAGACTTGCCAAACTTATCACATCTTAACATAAATTTGAAGAAATTGATCGCCTGTTGGAATTACAAGTTAAGCACGCGCCACTTAAATCACCAAATGGGTCTTTTGGAATTAGTGACAACACAACATCTGTTGTGTCTCCGTTGGGCCACATATATGTTCTCCTCTTCGTGCTCATTTCTTTTTTCAGAAGTATGTCAGCAACTGGATATTTATTAATGGAAAAGTTAAACCTTTAAGCAAATTTAAGCATAAGAATTAACTAAAGAAGACAAAAAACATTGTAACAAGTCCATTTCAGAATCGCTCATTTAATTACTCTCAGATGCTTGTGAATTGAGGTGGTTTTCAGGGCGGCTCATCTAAATTACTGCGAATATATGACTGCGAATCGAGGTGGTTTTTAGGCCCGCTCATTTAAATTACTCTCATATGACTGCGAATCGAGATGGTTTTCAGGTCCGCTCATTTCATAGTTCTCAGATGCTTGCGAATTGAGGTGGATAAAAATCACAATTAATCAAACAGTTTTTGAAAATCTTCTCGAATTGGCAGTTGATAAAAGACAACACAATCGCAAAGTGGTCAAAAATGTAAAAAAAGTGATGTTCCCTTACCATACGTTTCAAATTATAAAATAAATGAAAGATATAATATATGAACATAGCAAAATTAAAGCAAAATGTAATGTCCATATGTCCATTTGAGCGAAGTTGAAGCGGAGCACTATCCACCAATTGCTTCAGAAAGTGCTTCATCTTTTCCAAATAATCGAACTTCATTATGGTTATAGGATGAGCGAAAAGGCGAAGACCATTCAATCTGTTGCTGTAATTAGTCATTTTGAAATCTAATTTCAGAAGTTTCCTTATGAACACAATTTTCATCGCTAAGGCAAAAGCACTATAAATGTTAGGTGCTTTCATATTTTGGCCATTTTTTCACTTGAAAATGACATTTATTAAGAAAGTGAATAGAATATATGTTGATCAAAATATTTTCTACAACTTTCCCCCTTCTTTCTGGCAACGTTATTGGTTTGGGGTAACACTTTCTAACTTCACACGAAATTGCTTAGCGCCGGCTGTATGTTCGTATTCACGCTGCAATTTGCTCATAAACTCCAATTGCATCAACGAGAGTAAAGTTCTGCAAAGTGTTTATAATTATCAGTTGATGAAATAAATGCTCTAGGCGCAAACACAACCTTTTATAATGATCAAATGTACTGAACTGTCTTGGCATTGGGCTTACTATCTGAGCCGCGGCCGCAGCACTTCTTTTGATCAGCCAACCATTGCTCCAGGTTAGAATGTCGGTAATAATTTTATCAGTATGGTCGATTATACGAAATTGTGAACTTAACATTTCAAATCGGTCTCTATGGGTAGTCCGTGGCAAGAAATCTTTATCAACAACCTTGCGAATGGCGCCCGCTGTAGGTTTGGCAGCGATCCAATGATTGAACAATTTTCATACTTCTTCAGAATGTTGGAACCGCATGCCTGAATGGATCTGAAGGCACTACTGCTACTAGATCTTCGTGGTCCAAATTCGGAGAATGAAGGTGAATGTCTATGTCAATTTACTATTATAGGTAATTTTTCACCACGACACATTAAATCTATCTTCTATATAAAGATTCAGTTGTCGTAGGAACGGTTATATGGGGGAGGGTGCAAACAAGTGCCACAGCTGCAGCAAATTTTTCATACGGATTCAGAATGTCCAGTTACTATCACAGAGCAAATTTTGTCAACAAACTTTAAGAATTGAATATTTTTCCATTTGACGACTTTTGAAAATAGAACGTGGATGAGGAATGCTCGGAAAAAGCAATCCAAACTTTTTTATAAGTGCAAGTTGTTCTAAGAACTACTGCTTGTTCAAATTTCCCTTCTTCTGAAAATTAATTTGAAGCAATGTTTCAGAAAACATGAACTGTTATGCAGGCAATCTGCGTGTTGTGATAGTAAATTTGAACAATTTTAACATGTACGCGATATTTTAAGAAAGAGAAGCATTCTTACCTTGTTCTAAGTATTTAGGAATAAAAGTAAATACCAAATGAAAATGTTTTGCACATCCGCGTGTTCACCTATTTAAAACAATGGGCGGAAGAATTTACACCATATATATTTTAATTCTTATAAATTAATTCTTAAGTGCATAAATTAAACGGATAGAGGGAGCACATAAAAATTTGTAACTCCCTAGGATTCAACTTTCGTTAGGTTCCCTAAACAATCATTGTATAGATATCCCACGAGTTCTCCTGGGTACAACAGAAATTACATCCAAAAATGATACAGCAACTGCTTTCGCTGGTTCAAGTAAACCTCTTGGGTATTCGTTTGGCGTCATACAGTCTGGAATAATGGAGTTTATATCACAAGACGAGCCTTTGCATGTGTCGGGTCTCGTTCGTGTGAGATATACACGTTTTCTCTTAAGCTTATGAAGAAATCATTGTGCGCAAGTGTACACATGCGTAGTCTAGCACATAAATGTTTAGCGGCAAATGTTCCAGAGAATTTGTAATTTGTTTGCTGCGCACGCTTGCATGTGTGTAGGTAAATCTGCTTTGTGTTGCCATTTTTCTTTTATTTATTTATACATGGCTTTCTCTTTTTTTAGCCTCTTTTGGAACCCTTTTCAACATTTATAAGCTTGCCAACATATTTATGTACATAACAATAAATCACTGCTTACCTATATGTGTGCTTTGAAACATGTGGTTTACATGTTATGATGTTCAGTACGGTATGCGAACGTGTCTTAGGTTCTTAAGTCTTCACGGGCTGTTCAGCCGGCCGGCATAAATATCTGTTTGCCAAACTGAAAAAATGCTTGTTTTTTTTTGTCGAAAGTCACCAAAAACAGTAATAAATTTGTATTGAGTCTAAAACGGCTATACAGACTACAGAAAAATTTAACAGCGGCATTGAAGATAAACTGAGAAATGGAAAACACCTCTCTTTGTCTATGGACTTTATAAATTTCCAATACTGTATTTGCACACATTGTGTGTTTTAACATAAGCAGTTAGTTGACATGCCGCTCAAAGCAGTCGGCCTATTACTGGTTAGTATGCTTTTGCTCTTTTGCTTTCCGCATGTGCATGTGTTCCTTTATTTTAATTTATTTATGTTTTTTGTTCCTTTCAACTGACTTAAGACAATATTCCGTTGGTTATTTCGGCTTCTCACGAGCTTTTTTTTTGAACGCAATAATGCATGTGTATGAATTTTTAGAATGTGTAGGCATGCTTTGTTTTTGGATTTTCTGGTTTTTTGGTCATAATTGTGTTCATTAAATTCATTATAGTTTTGAATGAGACGCCCTATGAAGTAATACGATTTACATTACTTTTAATTTATTTTTGGATAGGTCTTGTTATTGTTTTATGTCACTTATGCTGACATTTTGTTACTAAGGTCGTTTATATAATCTATTCACATCATGCGGATGTTTAGTAGTTCTAAATTGATAACCAATTGCTAGTGTTAACACTCCGTAATATGACTTCGCGAAGCAGATCAATAGTTAATGAACAGCGTTACCACTGCTTTATTTTTTAATATAAACGTAAAACAATACTAACGAGAATGTCAGCACCTAAATTGCATTCGCATGAAAAGGAGTGAGGGAGTATTTTATGCCCGCAGTTTTTGGTTCGTTCATACACATTTGATCCATAGAGGAATCCACATTTTCTTATATCTTTCGCGAATGCAAATCGGTTAAGGCTTTAGTTAAGCTATGGCGGACATATTTGTGATTGGTTTAGACTTATTTTGAAGCATAGTTTATTGAATTCAACTAATTTCACCATAAATCAGTAATGCACACATGCTGATTACTGTTTCTAGGCTTTTAATAGGGAGTTTAATTGAGTGTTTTGGAAAAACCTGCGTAACTTTTTTTCTATAGTAGATCTTACATGCGGGTGATTGAACATTCATTTTAAAAGATACTACCAGCCGTGCTTAAAGCAAATAATTTCAATTTTTGATAATGACTTTTTGATAATCGTTTAAATAAGATATTTAAAAAGTTGAATTTAGCAAAAATATTTTTGAATGTGATTTGAATTCAATTAAATATCGTACGTGACTTATTCACTCTTTTATTTTTGCTTTCTTTGTATTAGGCGGTTGCATGTATTTTGATAAGCGCCAGTTAAAAATTATAAAAAACTAGGAAATACATAACGACAAAATTCGATCATTTTGATCTTTCTCTTGGTTTTATATTTAGTATTATTGAGATGTTCAATGTATACCGACGCCAATCGTGGAGCACTCAAAATTACATTTTCGACATTCATTACTTTTATTGAAGAAGTCTACTGCCGAAGCCCACCAAACACTTTTTGAAACTTATGGCGACGCTACTTCCTCATGTCCCAATTGTTACCCATCTCAAGCTCTCAAGGAAATTTCGGACAGAAAATGCCATTTCGAACCGTTTCAACATCGCGATTTCATTGCTTGCAAGGCAAGAAAGGCGGAATTTTATGTGGCGATTCACATCGGCTACGAGTCGAAATATTCATGGCCAAAACGTTTTGCTGTATGCATTTTTTTTTTTTCATATGGTGGTGTTCAGTGCTAAAATCGAATGAATCTGTTAATGCATATGTCCACCGACGTCAATTGAATAAATTGAACGATGTATTGTAGCAAAAGGGACGGCCAGTCACGGCTAACTGACGCAAGGTTGTCCTCTTGCATGACAGTGTTCGACCTCACGTTTCAAGAGTTTTCAGGGATACACTGTTGCAGCTCGAATGGAAGCATATAGAGTCACACTCAGCGTACTCACCAAACATTGCTCCTCTGATTGCCGCTTGTTCAGATCGATGCAACATGGTTTCGCTGGTACACGGTTCCGCAAGTTGAAGAAGTGCAAGTGAAGAAAAAGGGGTCGGAGCGCTGACATATGGTAATAAGGCTGGGGAAAGTTGTAGAAAATGGTGAAAAATACTTTGAGTGTACATTTTACCGATTTTTGCCAGTAAATACTTTACACTCAAGTGAAAAATCCATCAAAATACATGCATCCACCCAATAGTTCAATTTAAACTCAAAAAAAATAAACGCCTTTATAGATCCTGGCTGAGTGTAACCAATAATATAAATGCTTGAGGATAATACACAAGAAAGATAATTTCGCTCTTCTTTGAAGTACCCTCATTCCACTGTCGTAGTAATCAGTTTAACATGCGCAAATACGTTCGTTCGCAAAGTTTTACACATAAACTATGTAAAGTAGTAATGCATGGTAACAGGTCGAAAACAAAGCACACCTGAGTAAGTAAAAACGATTATACGAAGAGTAACAAGCTCATAAAATGTGTGTAGGTTTGTTTGGATGCACGTTCGAAGACTTTTATTAATTACAATTTAAAGGTTTGTGTGTGTATAGTCTTTTTGTTTTTTGCAACCCAGATGATAGTCGGTTAATTTTGCTGCTTTTTATGCTTAAGAAACTAAAAATATAATATATTGTATATGTATCTGTGCTGGAGCACTCTAGATAAGATAAGATTGTGCCAGACATCGTGCGCTAGACATTGTGGCGACGTGATTGTCCGGCTCACTGTTTACCCCGTGATGTTTACAAACGCCTGCATGTATGCGCGTGAAAAAATGATTTGTATTTTGAAGAAATATACTGCGATGGTGCGTTTTTATAGGTATCGCGTATGTGCATACTGTTCTTTTGGTCCTAAACATAAGTTATTTGTATATGCGCATGTACATGCATGCTTATGTTTTATGTTAAATTTCTACATGCGTCTAACAGATAAAAAGCGGAGTTTTAAGGTGCTCAGTTATGCCAACCGTTTTAGGTTTTTACTGTGTAAAATTTTGCGTATGTTCGGTACACTCGTACTCAGCCTTATTTTACGCTGTTTACGTACATCCATTAAGTATGTATGTATGGATGCGGGCATACATGTCTTGACCAAGGTTGGTCTCTGCATTTTGTCTCAGTAACGTTTGAAACCTCGTGACGATAAGTACGCTGCGCTTGTGTGACGGCACGTTTACATCTTTTAAATAAAATGACTGCTTCCAGGTACTGCAATTTTGATTTATGTCTGAAGAACTTAAAAATAATTCAGCATTTGCTGTGCCACGTTTGTTTACTTGATTTTAACCAATGCTTGTTAGTAATGTGAACGCCAAGAAATTCCAAAGAAAAAACAGAAAATTAGGCAGAGAAGTGTGCTATATACAAGTGATTTTTTTATACAATTTCTATGCCGCAAATAATTAATTTTTGATTTTCATATCTTTTTAGTATCTTCGCCAAATGCCTGTAATTGAGTTAAAGTTAGGTTTTGTGCTTGATACTGTTTCCATATTGTGAGTTCAAACCTAATCAATCAAAATGCGGACCTATTTATAATTACAGCCATCGTCATCATTACCATCAAGTTTTCTTCTTAACCAGTCGAAGGCTATCCTTTAAATAACCTTCGTTATCTTCGCGACGTTTATCAGTATAAAATCTTATACAGATATGATTCTACGAATTAGTTGTGTCATTGTTCATATCGTTATCATTGTTGCCGTTTTCACACTTTTAATAACAAGCGGATTATCAGCAACCTTACAGCGACAGGAGCTTTCAGTAAGTATAAATTGTAATTTCGTACTTAAAGGTAAAGCTATATATAGCCCTAGAGTGAATCTGGGTTAGTTAGCACCAAAGGGAATCTTTTGTTAGTTATCGACTTGTTGCTGACTACGCTAAACTTTATTTATTAACACTCTTCCTCGGCCGCGCGTAGGTTGTGCAGGTTAAGAAAGTTTTAAAATTTTAGGTATTTTATAAAAAGTTTTAAGTTGGGGAAAGCAAGATAAATTGATAGATAAATAATAAACGATAAACTGCAAGATAACTTGAGTTAGAATCTTAGATCAATCGAAGGTATACGTAATTTTTAAATTTCTGAAGAGTATTGTGTTTTTTATTTCAATTTTCATATGTGCTTTTTATTTCAATTTTCAAATGGTTTAAAACAGCATTCCAAACATTTCGAATTTCAGAATTTTTGATGAGTATTTAAATTAACACATTACAGTTATGTACAAATAATTAAAGTTGAAAGTTATGTATAAATATATAAAGTTGAAAGTTAATTCAAATATTTAATATAAGATTTGTCGATTTGTTTATCAATTGGCCGATTGAATCAGTCAAAAAAGCATGTGTACAAAAAGTAGTTTAATTTTTCTAATAATTTACAAATTTCTTTGCCATCTTTTTGTCTCAATTTTTTTGCCTTGGGAAATTCTAAGAACCCTTCTTCTCTGGTTAAGAATACGAAGCAGTCTTGCTAAACTGTGATGCTATTAGAATTTAGAAGCTTTCCTGGAAGTTACAATTATGTGAGTCATCAGATTTCAGTTGAAATTTCATCTGAGATTGATTTTATTTCGGCGCACTTTCTTTGAGGCTTATGATAGGAAATCTTTTAAATAATGTTAATGGGTTGACTCAAAATGTCGAATAAAGAGAGCCTTATCATTCTTGAAACAACTCGCTTTTGGCCTTGAAATCTCCTTAAGGGACTCAAAATAATGACCTTAACAACAGGATTGTGCATTAAAATGTCCATAAATGAGATCAACATACGGGCGGTTAAAAAGACGAACTGGCATCGATGGCAATGTTTGGCGTGGTAGGCAGCGGGATATATATAAATAACGCAGCAGTAAAACCTTTATTGAGATTGGTTATTTTCACCATTAATAGCAAGCAGCGTATGAAATCAGATTTTTTGGCACTTAAGAGATTTCTTGATGTACATGACTAGATTTGTGCGTTAAAAAAAAAAATTATAATTAGAGTTGGAATTATCAAAGAAAAAGATGTGTGGCAAGATACAGATGCAATGTCAAACAAAAATTTCTAGTATACTTTTATTTGAGTTGTTTGTAAAGTTATGAATGTTAATCTGCAGAATCCTCATGTTGTTGGAGAAAAAAATTTTAGGAAGCAGAAGTTAATTTGGCATTTATGTTATCGGAAACTCTTATTGAAGATTGATTTCTTTTTATTTGAGGGGGAAGATGTGTACGAACACACTAGTTTATTTAATATTTTTTCAATGCTTTGTTTGATTTTGAAAAAACAATAAGAAAGAGGATGCGCATTAATCGGCTGAGGAAATAAAAACTCGTTTGAGAATGACTTGGGCGAGCTGATTGTTTAGAATTCATAGTTTGACTGTGATCTTCGGTAAACGAACTTCGGTATCTGCATTTTCAATTGTTCGTTCATTTGAACTGGGTAAAACTGGCACTCAAGTATGTTTTGCTATAAATAGAGTATATGGCTAAAACTTTTTACCTTGAATTGGTTTTATTTTCATAATTTTTGCTCTTAGTTACTTCATTCCACTTAGGGCTCTTTGGTTCTGTGGTCTTCGTGTTCGCAGTTGATGTGTCTCTTATTGCAGCCACAATTATTTTGAGTATGACCTACTCGACGGAAACTACACTTCTAGTTCTATATTTAGGTAGATATATTCCAGTACGTCCATTGAACAAAAACAATTTTGCCAGATAGAGTAATTTTTTACCAGTTTTTTGAATACTTTCAGATATGGCAACTAGGGCAACACATCTGCCAGCAAAGTCATGGCGGCACAAATGAACTTTGCCTTTATGAGCCGGGGATCAAACCTTCATTGAGAGAATTTGAGAAAATCTGATAATTAGTTGGAAATTAAATTTGATAAGATGTTATCAACACGATTCTTTCAAAACCTTTTTATGATATTCTATGAATATCGTTTTCATAGATAGTTTGACCACGATCACCATAGTTTAACTGTAAAAGGTTTTTCTTATTAAGGTCCCAACAATTCACTGATCTCACCAAAAATTGTTAAAATTATAATAAACCAATAATTTGTCAAAAGCAGTTTTCAATAGAGGCATAAGCATACGCACGCGATGTCGGCTGTTTTTTTAAAGTGTTAAAACATTCGCGTCAATTGCCCTTTTTTATAAATTGCTTTTTTTTAACCACAAATGTTTAAATTTTTTATACTTAGAGCTGAAAGATTAATTATCTATGGCGAGTTTCAAGGGTTTGGTTAAAAGTGCTTATTTTTTCATGCATTATATTGTAATTTGTTCCTTTTGAACAAACAAACCAAATTATCCTCTCTTTGTCCCTAATTTTGCCTTTATTTTTTTAAATAAATATCGCAAGACGAGAACTATGCAAAACCAAGTGGCTTTCAAACTACCTCGTCGCGATTTACGCGAATATGTTATAAAAAAAGCGCCAAAAAGAAATAAAATGCTTAGACCATCATACTTCACAAGTGTTTTTCTTAATGCATTGAAAAACCCAGGAAGTTGTGTCACACTGAAATGAAACTGAGAAATAATTTCAAGAAGTTGTACCAAACCGAAAAATAATCCCAGGAAGTTGTGTCGAACTGAAATGAAATTGAGAAATAATACCATGAAGTTGTCGATATTGTGAAAAATAATCGCGATTATGGACCACTAAATTATTTTGTTGTTGCGGGCTAATACACAACGACAAGCTCGAGGGCCTGTGACTGTAGTCTTTTGCGTAGAGTGTTCATTAGGAATGAAATAATCCCCAAACAATAACATTTCAGAGTCAAGCGTACTCTCACATAATTCAAAATTCCATACTCTGAATTAAGGTCTGAAGTTAGAAAGACGAAAAGGCACATAGAGTTATCACAGTTAAAGAGTTATCTGGCAATGGGAACTCGCGCTTTTTCTTTAATTACATCAATGGTCATCGACATTTTAGTCAAAAATTAAATGGTTGTGCTGTGTGGAATGACCATGATAATAAAAGATATTTAGACATGCTGAAGAGCTGTCTTCCAAGTGTCAATGAAATCGCAATACGTGCTCCGTTATGCTTTTTATGTTTGCCAATTGCCTTTTCAAGACTTTGTTTTCACCGAGAGTGCGCAAAGCATACTAAAATTTAATTTCTCTAAACTATGAGTGATGAGCAAAACCGCAAAAGTTTTTGCATCCTGGAACGAACATGTTGTTAATAGTTTACGATTGAGGTGTAAACATATGTCTGCTTGAAGGCATTCGGGAAAACCTTTCAATGCCGTTCGTAGTCCAAGCATGTTGAAAATACTCCTCTAAACGTTGTCTCAAAGGATTGGGTATCTTCTAGTTACAAATAATAACAATAACTTTCCATTAATAAGGGAACGTTTTAATAAGATAAGAAAGCCGTGTTATTGTAAAGATTACAGAGCTTCAGATTTGAGGAACAACTAATAATCATATGAAAACCTAAAATCTTATTAAAAGCAAGGATCGTAGAAAGCAAAAGAATTGTGCTGCTGGTAGAAAATCCGAATGTTACACAAATGAAAACCACAGATTGTAAAAAATGTAGGTTTCAATATTTAATTGAAGAACTTCTCATGTTTATTATGGTGGGCAACCATAGGTACAAATTTCTTTGGAACTTTTGGATAGACGTTGCGCTAACTCCAGCGTCCAAAAAAAATGGCAATCGGTATAGATGAAAAATTAATAAAAAGATTTCAGCACTATTTTCGTGAAATAGTACGACATTACCTTTATTATTTTTATAACTCGAAGTAACCCTTGTTTGTTCTAGCTAGAAAAAAAAGTATTTTAAGTTAAAGCAAAAATTTGGTTCCACACATTGGTCATTTAGGTTATGAGCTTGGGCGATTTGTGAACAATTTTAAAATTTTCCTGACAGTTACAGTGACCGAAGAAATGATTGATTCTCCGCACCGGCAAGGAAACGTGTCACGAGTTGCCATGGAAGAACTGCTTTAGTTAAGTCATTTGAAAATCTAATTTTTGTGATCGGGATCTGAGATACCACAAGGTATCATGACGTAGTTGAGTCAGTCGAAATCGACATGCTTAACGCATTATGCTACGTCATTCCGCCAAATCAAAATACGTACAAAGCTCTCGAATTTGCATTTCTTATTTAGGTGAAGAGATTTCTTTGTGAAATCCGTCATTTTGTCAGTGAGTTTATACATCGTGGGAAAACTCG